CGGCCGGGCAAAGCGGGGCCGCCGCGCACGGCCAGGAGCTGGCGCTGAAGCCACCGCGCACGGCCCTGCCGCAAGGCTCCGGCCAGCCTTGAGATCCCACCAGGTTTGAAGAACAAAAACAAAACATTTAAGGAGGGTTTGTGCCTCCTGAAAAGCTGCCGGTCATATTAAAGACTGTCTGGTATAGCAAAGCCTAGATGTTCGGCAATGATGAAGTATTCCATCACAAGTATGTAAAATGAATGAAAACATATATAATACCGATTCAGCTGCAGATAAACTGCCTTTAAATAGCTCAGATGTAAAAGAGACAATAAAATACAGCACTCATATCAAGCTATGCAAACAGTATTGATGAACCAGAATATGTTTTTCTCTAAACTGGCTGAACAGGAGAAAAAATAATAATTCAAGAAGGTAAAGGATGAAGAAAGTACAATAAAAATGCTCAACATGTTATTCAGAGCTATAATTTAAGTTAAAAGGCTTTGATACAAGCTTCTGTAACATCAGATACCAACAAAATAAACGTATAAATCTAAATAGCTTTAGTAAAAGCTAACTAAAGGGACATATATAGGCTTATGTAGTAGATCCTTCCTTTTATTTTTTTTTTAGGCAGATTTTAGGTTCTGCACACTGGAGTCCTAGCAGGGCAGGTGAGTTCTCTCATAGAGCCACACAAGTCACCCACTGAGGGTGACCCATTTTAAGACCCCCCTTCTCTTTCCAATTCTGTTCTGAAGCAACTCTTCAGAACTAACATAACATCACAAATTTGGCACTAGGCCAGGATAAGTCCGGGATAGCCCACGGCCCTCCCAAAGAGGATTCCTGAGGACGCCAGCAGCCAAAGACACAAGCGCCTCGCGCGGCCGCCCAGCGGGCAGCTCTGCACCCGGACCCATCCGCCAGCTCCCTGGCATTGAGCTTGAAGGTCCTTCCCAACCATAATGATTCCATGACTGTACGATGCTGACAGAAAGCAGATGATCCATCTGAGTCTTTGAAGCTGTCCTGGGGCCTGGGCAATTCAGTGGAATGTGCAACCAAGGACAGGACCAGCCAGTGGCAGCGGATGGAAGTGGGTGCAACCCTCGGACAGGCAGCCACCGGGAATGACCCTCCAAGTGCAACACCAGGACTTGCACCTCATCCATATTTCTAGCTTCCTAGATTGAAAGCTGTTCCGCGGAGATAAAAGCTCATAAATGATGTAGGTCCCATCCTTGAACATGGCGTGGTAAAGCCAAATAACCTTGATGATTCAATGTAGGCTCTGGTCTAGCAACAAAGCAAACAGGATTGCCTGGAAGATTTCTGGGTGAAGCTGTCTAGAGATGTGGGTGCCTGAGGAGAGCAGAGAGCAGACAGGCTAAAGACACCAGCACATAAAACAGTGCATCAGACAGCCTACAAGAACAGCTTCTCCTGCAGGCTGAGTCAGCTTTTCACCCTAAAGGTCCTCAATCTGTCTCTAAGATGCGAGGCAAGTTCTTCAAGTAAAACTTGGCATTATGAATTTGATTATAACTGACCGTGTTCTTCCCTAATTTAAAAGGTACTTACAAAGAATGTGAAATTTCCACAAACTGGAATGGAGCAGAAACAGAGACACCCAGAATTTGAACATCTGGTAAAAAAATGGGTGATTTGGAAACCTTACTTCTAAAGACAAAACTTGATGCTGTTGCATTTAGTGATGTCAATTGTTTTTATCAAATCCCACTGCCAGAAGACAGGTCAGAGAAACCCTCCAAATCAACGGATTTCTCAAAATTTTCGGTAAGGTACTCTCAGATGGAGAGGAATTACTTATGAAGAGCTGTTCTTTCCACACACCAAACAGTAACAGTCTGTTTTTATATGCTGCTTGCTGTGCATAATGCACATAAAATCACTCAGGAGCAACATATTCAAACATTCAAGTGGATGGCTTGCTATATAATTAAAAAAACATATTTAAAACTCTACTGATTCATTTGTAGATTAATAAATGCAGGAGGCTTTATCTCTTACAATAAGGTAGGGAAAAGACTGGAATTATAATAGCATAGATGTAGGGCTGTAGTTTACTGACTCTACAAAAGGCAGCATCAGCTGAAAGCTAGCAGTGAGGTAGATAAGTCACAGCATGAAATTTCACTGACCTTTTTCCTGCCTTTATGTGGTCAGGCACATGGAATGCAGAAAAGTGTACACAGCAGTATATGATAAATAATTTAAAAATAATATAAAAAAATAGTTTGTTAACTAGAATTTCTCAAACTAAGAACAGTTTTGCCGTCACACACTGTAAACAACTCATGAAAAGGACGGTTCTGTTTTAGTTGTTTTCCTAACAGCCCTTTCCTACGCCAGCGTGGCTGGAAAGGCTGGGCCAGGGCTTTGGCTCCGTGGGACCTGCCCGGCCCCACAATCACCAGCTTCCCAAAACTCAGACAGTTACTCAGGACACGTTCCCAAGTCACCTGAGCAGCTAAAACCTTGCTTTTGACTAAAATCATCCCTCTCTTCATAAATCTTATACAAATCTATTCATGTGAAACACAACTATGTAGATCGCAAGAAGTTTGCTATTCCTATTTTACTTGATAAAGCAAATTTGCATTTTGAAGTAAACTAGATGGGCATTTCACATAACTGATGCTAAATATACCTGTTTTCTTTAAAAGGCAACAGATACCCACTACTTGATGCTGCTAATGAGTAAGATATAACTTATTTACTAAGGAAGAAGCCTTTTCCTCAGGAAAAGGAAATGCATATTTCCCTCCCTAAGGAATGTAGATTAGATATTCCATATTATATGAAAAATGATGGATAAGATGAAATACTGATGAACGGTGTTAATTTTAAACTAGAAATCAGCCACATAATGTTTCTAGTGATGTACATTTATATTAACTTTTCTAGTTTTATAAGATTATCTTAAAATCGGAATGCACAATAAAACTGGGTGTGCATTTTTAGTTTTAATTCTGCCACAGGTAGAATCTTTTAATTAATAAGTAATTGGACCTTCTCCACTTCTTTATCTTGGTATTTATAGAAAGGGTTTGAAAATCTCTGCCAGAAAGGTACTGTGGATCTGCCTGCAGTGTTCAGCATTGGTCTGACTCTGTTCTAACAGAAGTCAATGTCACTGACTTAAGTAGAACAGAATTAGGTCAAAGTCTACCATTTTGCTGTACTTGGTAGAAAAAAGGATCATGCAATATCTGTGTGTTAAAAATTAGGGTCACTTTTTCTGAAGTACTCACCTTCATTATAAGTCAAATGGAATACCTATTTATTTGGAAACTATTTTGGCTACAGATTAGGTGCTATGTATTTATTGAAAGATAAAAGTGTTCTTCTTTTTAATACATAGTAACTGTATAGTCTATAAACAAAACTTTGAATTTGGCTTTATCTGTGGAACCATCCCTTACCTCTTAAAAGCAGAAGTTATTCAGAAACATCAAACACGGATTTTGTAGCGCAGACAAAGCAGCTAATGTGCAATTCTACTCCTATGTATTCCATTTACATAACTGTTCTTAAGGAAATAACTGTATGCTAGCAGAGAAAACACTAAGATATAGAGATAGCAGAGGTTATCTCAACATTTGCTTATGTGGAAAACATTTAGGGGAAAAAAAGCCTTCATGTGAATTTAAAGAGATATGCTTTGCACACATTCTGTACAGAATCATTTTCTCTACTTAATATACTTCCAAAGTGACTAGGCTAAGGTACACATACCATTCCAAGGTATTTCTTTGTTTAGAAAAGCTATTAGAATATTTTGTTGGCAGTTCATGCAAAATAGCTTAATATGAAAGAGAATGAAACAAAATTACGAAACCAAACCAAATGAGAAAGCTATCAAAACTTGAAATAGTAAGTTTTCTGAAAAACTCTTGTTTTTTTCTCTTCTGTCATATTCTTCTGGACCCTGACCTGCACACAACCCTCTCATGCTGAGAGAGACAAGTAGCTGTGTCAGAACACATCTAAAATTAACAAATCCAACTGATTTCCATGAAAATGGAGCTCCTTCATGTGTTATAACTGGAAATCACTGATTATCTCTGCTCTCTCAGTCTACACCAAGACCCAAGTAGGTCTCTGGGCTACAAACTATCTTATGATCAAGAGATGACAGATGTGCACAGTTACAGGTTGCAAATGCAGAGGCTTCTGTAACTTGAATACTTGCAACTGTCTGCCTCTACCTTAAGATACACATTCATAGTCTGGGTTCATCTTTGAATTCTGCAACACTTCATTTCAAATTTGCTAAAAGACTTTTGTTTTTTAAATCAGAAACAAGACTGATGCTAAGAGCCAATAAAGCCATACCAATTCAAGCAATACTGGGCCTACATGCAGCAGAATCACACTGGACCAAAATTTATCCTAAGTGTAACTACTCTGTTTCACTTTTCCCAGTGAATCTATACTTGTATGCTAGTATTTTAAACATCAGTAATCAAATTATTTTGTACTTAAAAAAACTAATGCACACATAAAATTCCAGACAATATGCTCCAATTCCACTCACTCACCAGCTGTTTCTGTCCTGTTGTCCAGAACAGAAAAATAATCTATATTGTAGCTCTGCACCATTTTTTTCTATACAAAGCTTACCTGTTACGAGCTCTTTTATTTCTGCATCCACAGTTTTTCTGAGCAGTCGCAGGAGGGCAGGAATCCCACCAACGTTCTTCATGGCGATCTTGTTCTCGTCGGTGGACTTGCCGTACACGAGGTTCCTGAGCGCCCCGCACGCGTTCTTCTGCACCTCCAGCACCCTGTGGTCCAGGAGGTCCACCAGGTGCTTGATTCCGCCCAGCCGACACACCTGCAGGACGGACCCACGGGAACATCAGCTCCTGCGCACTTCACACGTGGCACTCGACACGCTGAGAGGGCCCTTTTTTACATTGAATGATAGTATGCCCTATTCTACCCCCAAAAGGAAGATTACCAGGAAATCTTAACCGTAGTTAAGCTAAGAGGCTGTAAGTGAAAGAATAATTTAAGGCTGCAGTGAAAAATCCTTTACCATTTTGGTAAACTTCATACCATTTTTGGATGTTCCTTGCCTGTTCCACCCTGTGCAATAACTAGTTTAGCAAGTTAGAACACTATTAACTCACTGTCATTAAGTTCATTGTCTTTTACTGTCTTTTACTTTTACTGAGGGCATTCAGTGGACTGACGGCTATTTACATGGGAAGATTTCTGGGGCCAGGAAGTTTGATGTACTGTGAAAATTATCTTGCATAGTATTTATTTGACACAAACTACATCAAAAGCGCCTATTGGAGGATGCTATACATTTTTTAAAGATTTATTCTTTCTTAAGGCTACTAATTCTTATGTCTACATTATTAAATAAATGAAGGAAGAAATAACTATTCAAAGTTTTCAGTTAAATCCCTCTTGCACGACAACACAACAGCACATCAGACATTACACCTACTTTACACATTATTAAAGGAAAAGCAAATTTAGGTAGACGTTCTTCACATGTCAGTGTAATTTATTTTTTCTATGTAATTTTGAAGGCAATTTAAATGGTAAAGATGGGTTTCTCGCAGATAAGCAGTTTCTTATGCTTCCTCCAGGTTTTAGCAATGCAAGCACTTCAGTTCATTCTGCTGGGCTTGTAATACCCTTAATAGTCTAAGAAATTAATCTGCTTTCTATCACAGCAATAAAGTAATATATCTAAATAATGAATAAAAATATAGCATTAAAGGAGTACTCAAATAGTGCTTTAATGATCTTAGCAATAGAGCCATTACGATCCTTTCCTATCCTGAGCAGTGTCTAGTGCCGGCCCCTGACTGAAGGCAGGACACTCGTCGCGAACTGCAGCTTCCCTCTCGCCACAGACACAGCAAGTGGCCACAGAACAGCAAGAGCATAAGGAGCCGACTGCCCGGTGAGCACTGCCCGAGCCTGAGGCCACCACCGCTCCTTCCCCTGAGGCCACCACCGCTCCTTCCCCTGAGGCCACCATCCCTCCTTCCCCCGAGGCCACCACCTCTCCTTCCCCTGAGGCCACCTCGCCCCCCCGACGCGGTCCGGGAGCGGGACGAGCACCCAGCCGCTGGCCAGGGGAAGTGGCGAGATGGAGGCAGAAGGGATCAAAGGGGAAGGGCAACGTCTCCCTTGCTGCAACTGGGGGTTGTTTTGCTGGGTGAGCAACATTCTTACAGAAGTGCTATCAATATTTCATTAACATAAGTTATATTCATCATGTTCATCATGAAAATAAGAGATAAAAGGAGCGGGACGAGCACCCAGCCGCTGGCCAGGGGAAGTGGCGAGATGGAGGCAGAAGGGATCAAAGGGGAAGGGCAACGTCTCCCTTGCTGCAACTGGGGGTTGTTTTGCTGGGTGAGCAACATTCTTACAGAAGTGCTATCAATATTTCATTAACATAAGTTATATTCATCATGTTCATCATGAAAATAAGAGATAAAACACGCATGAGATATGAGTGGGAAAGCAAACTTCTTCAGATCAATAGCTTACAGCTGCTCTGAGAAAGAAGTAGCTCTTTAGACAACTGCTAGATGATATTTTAACAAAACCTGTATTTTCACTCGGATGCACCTTTCCCCTACAATGAACTGAAATTAATACTCTCCTCTGTGTATTTCCAGGATTGTGATTTCTTTTCTTTGCTTGACAGTTCAATTATTCCCTATGAGGCACTAAAATATCTTCAGCAAAAACAGAGAAAGCCTTCAAGAATTGTCATTTCTCCAAGAATTATTGCTTCTCCTAATCTGCAGTCACCACCACACTGCACACACAGACTTCACCTTCACTTCTATGCTTCTGCCAAACTGTGCAACCCACATGTCAAAGAGCTTCACATAATTTGCATGTTATACAAAGACAGTCTTATAAGAGGCTGTGTGAAGATCTTCATGCACATATGAAGATCTGTGTATATTATATATATGTGCATATATTTACACACACCTACATATGTCAACATTAACGTATGTCTAGTACAACCAGAAACACGAGAGGGTCCAGGATACTGTTCTACAACAAAAGGATGAAAACGGGGCAGGTGTGTGGCTGTTCCTAGTGCTGAGCAGCCTCCCCAGCAAGGGAAGCAGCCGTGCCTACCTCCGTCTTCACTTTGTTGTCCCCGAAGCAGAGGTGCTGCAGGTAGGCGGCAGCGTTGGCCTGCACGGAGGGGAACTGGTGCTGCAGCATGTGGATGACCTCGGGCAGCTCCGGGTCTCGCCAGGCAAACTCCCTTCAGCGGGAACACAAGCACAGGCATTAGCTACAAACATGCATTTATCTACTAGGCAGAATTACAACAGCGCCTTAAGTGCTTTTCATCAATTTTGTTTTTGTTCTGCAGGACCAGGGCTAGGAGGAAAAACAGGTATGTCAGAGCAGTAATGAGTCACCCCACACTTTATTCTCCCCATTGGGAAAGAGCGCTTTATATCCTACATGCTTCAGTTGGGTATGTTGGCCATACAAACAGATGTACACACTAAAATTACACCAACTGAAACTCTGCAACCTATAAACATCCCCCAGCACTTCAACACAGAGCCAGATGCACACATTTTTCCTAAGTTCTCTCCATTTAACAACAGTGCTCAGGTGCATCACTCCCATAAAGTATATTTTCCCGAATACTCAATGCTCTTCCTCATCTGAAGGCAATTGTACTCGAAAAAAGCTGTGCTGCTATGGATGTCTTCATCGTGATCAGATCCACATATTTGCATAATCTGAGTTACTCAGGGATTGCAAACGTAATACCAGTTTCATCAGACGTGCTTTACTTAACAAATCATTTTATTTATGCAGACAAATCTGGAAAAGGCATTAAACACATCAGGGCCCCATTCATACCCAACTGGGCTAGATATGTATCCACTAATATTTGTTGGGCCAGCTTCCCTTTGTAAAGGAAGTCAAAAAAATAGGAGTGTGTCAAGTTTCTTGTTCTTGAAACTCCAGGCAAGTTTAGAGCGGCTGTCCCAAGAGCAGCGTCTGCGCCTGGGGTATTCGAAGGGCAGCATCGGCAGGGCCAGCCGGGTCCCCGAGGATCCCTTCACGGCCGCTTTGCAGGGGACGCTACCGAAGTGCCTGCTCTGGACCAGAATCACACAGGGGCTTATGTCTCCCTGCTTGTGTCTCCTGAGGACAACGGCCTCTCCAGCAATAGAGATCCCGCGAACGCTCCCCGGCCTCCCCGCAGAGCGATGCTTTCTGGGGCTCAGAACACAGAGAACCAGAACCTGAAAGGGACCCGAACAAGACAGAACTGCTTCGTTGTGAAAGCACAAGCAGCCCCGCAACATCGGGACATGCACCACCACAGAGAGGAAGCCGCAACTTCTTAGCAGTTCTTTGCATCCCTGCTATCAGCAATCAACTTTTAGGGAACGTTCTGTGAGCCAGAACAGATGAGGAGCAACACGCCACTAGCGAGCAGCAGAGACGAGACTATCAACCTCACTTAGATGAACGAACAGAGGAGTCAAATGAGATTAATCCCGTCTCACTATATCCATCAAAATAAGAAATATATTAATACTCATTAATAAGAAAAACAATACACTTAAAGAAAATCACCACTACTATTTTCAAGACTGAAAGATAGGACAAACCTCAAAAGTATCTAAATCATGTCTGTTATAAGCTTTGTGCAAAAGAGGTATAAGTTTTAGTGAAAAGACTGTCTCTTAATTGCAATGACAATACTGGGACAACACTTGCTTCATGTCCATGTTGTTGACATGCACTTAGATCATCAAACTAAACGAAGTGTTTTAAAAATAAGCGTGCATTAGGTTTTGCAAAATGGTGCATTTATATTTTTTAAGATTTATGTTGTTCATGAAAAATTCATTTAAACAAATTAAGTACATACTTTCTAATTTTGAAAATACGACAATTTCCCACTCCCACAAAAAGAAGTTTGCTACATACAGGATTACAAATGCCTCTGAAGAATTACTCAGAAAGATTGACTATAACCCGGGCTGTTGACATCAGATTTACCAATACTCCTTGTAATAACTCCTACATGAAAATAAATATGGAAGAAAAGCATAACAGCATTTAAATACATACAAGCTGTTCATTCTTTCCGCAGCAAAGCAGAAGAAATTTACTGCTTTAGCCATTCAACAGGATCTTTAAATCCAAATAAGTCATAAATGTTTGAGCAGCGCAGAGCTGAAATGCACACAAGCAAAGGCGCCCCGTTTATTCCCGGGACGTACGAAAGAGCTGTGGCCCACAGGCAGGGCTACGAGCCCGGGGCAGACTTGCCTGGGGTCCTTCTGAATGCTGTCGATGGAGGGGGAGCGCGTGGTGCCGTCGTCGGCGGGCGCCGCGTGCTGCAGCCGCCCGTACACGGGCTCCGCGAGCCGGAACGGCGCCGCGCGGTAGGGCTCCGCGTAGGTGGCCGCCGTGCTCAGCGCGTAGTTGTTTCTTTGGTAGGTGAGCGTGCTGCGCTGGCTGGACGATCGCTGCAGGTTTCCCACTCCTGCCGCAAAAACAGCATTACAAAACACAGGCACCAAAGGTCTATTGAAGAAGCAAAGTAACACTGGGTCAAAGAGGGTGACCAAAAGAGGGGCACAAGGGAGCGGCTGCTCCTTCAGCTGAAATCCCCGCAGGAAGCGTCGCCGGAAGATGCTGCCAGCGACAGGAGGAGACTCCGGTGGAAACAGATTTAAAGCCTGATTTGCTTGAGCATCTAAAGCACAAAATGCATCTTGTGACTTTAAACAGAAATCATGCTCTAAATTGTGTTTTAGAAATCAAGCTCCAAAGTGCTTAATAAAATTCAGTCATCAACAGCAATTTCGATTTGTCAACAGTACTAAAGAGGGAGAAATAATTAAACAAAAAAAATCTTATAACTGATATTATATTTTCCCTTTTCCAACTATTTGCAATTTTTTCCTGAGCAAACTTAAAAAATAATAGGAAGAACCAGGATTAAAGATGCTTTCAAAGCATTAAGGTTGGGACTCCAGAAATTCAAATGCAATTCTTCAAATGCTGATGTGGTAGTTTTTCTTTGTAAGGCAACCGGTATTAAGTAAACCAGAAAACAGAGAAGTTACATTTCTAGTTAACTTTCCTCATTAGCACATCCTGACAAACATAGTTTGTCTGCTTTAAGCTGTGGCAGACAAGAGAGGATAACTGCAAAATCCCTTGTCTCCTTCAATACACAGCACTCTCAGCACTGGAGTTATGTAAAAAAAGACTTAAAAGATATTTTTAAATATGTAAAAAATGACCTAAGAATTGGACACATCCCTGTAAATATTTCTGGAGAGTTGGTTAGCTAAATCACTCTAACATTTAGACAATTTTTAGAAATTACTCCACTACACAACTTTAGTGATTAGCCTTAAAAAAACTTCTTTGCAAAATAAATTTTACATTTTTCTTTACATAAAATCACTTTAACATTAGTTTTTTGCTTAAGCAGTTCATAATTTGTTAGTAAAAATTATATCAAATATCAAATATTAAATACAGAAATATTGCAGTTTCACTACAAAATCTTCAAATATAGCATTTACTACACTACAAAACATAAATTACACTGCAAAAGATGTTAAGTGTGCAAGCTATCGTTTTACTGGATAGACAAAAAATGAACAAGCTCAGTGAGAGAATGAGGCACAAAGAATGCAAGAGTGTATAATAAAGTATGTGTCACAAGATGCTCTTTCCTCAAGCCTACTTGAGTGCACCGTGTCAAATGGGAAATATTCTGGCTCTAGGTTGTCACAGATACGCAGTGCCAAGCACTCCGTGCCAGCACCACGACACCTTTCCAGTTGCTTCAGGTCTGTCTCGCACTTCCCCTGCTCTGTACCCTCCTCTTTCTGCCCTGAAGCCAGCACTCCACGTGCCCTGCAGCGCCGGAGGCTCCGGAGCAGCCCGGGAGCCTTGGCAGGGCCCAAGGGCAGCGCCGCGAGCGCGTCACCCACCTGAGCCCGTTCGGTACAGGGCCGCCTGCGAGCCGTGGTGCAGCTCCACGGTGCCGTGGTTGGGGCTGCGGTACACGGGGCTGTAGTAGGTCCTGCCCTCGTAGATAGGCGTGATGTGCAGGTCGGGAGACACGGCGGAGCGCAGCTCTTGTCCCAGCTGGCTGTGCTGACTGGCGTACGAGCTCCGCAGGCCTGGACACAGGGGGAGGTCAATACGTACCTGTCCAACACCCCTTTGAAATATGAAAGCAATCATGTGCAGATCTTTCTTGTTTTAGCCATGAAAAAGTGTTAGCTATGTCACAAAACTTTTAGAAGAAATTAAATACAAATACGTTAATAGAGGATAGTATTAAACTATGGTCAAACACTTTTCGTTAAACTGTTTTGCATTAATAGTATTAGATGCTTAATACTACTAATCATCTAATTAGATTAGAACTACATTCCTTTGATTATGCTTTCC